TTTAGATTCTGATAACAAGTTGAAATGGAATAATAACATAAGCAAGTATATGAAAAATGAACACATATAGATTTATCCTGGTTCCCCTTAAACCGAAAGTAGTATTATCCTCTTACAGCACAAGAGATATTCCACTATAATTAAACAATGATTACAATTGCTTATGCTCTAAAGCATAAGACTTTTCTTTGCTCGAACTTATAGCCTAAGACTTGCCTGCGCAATTAGAGCCTGATCAAGACTTCTTGCTTAGGTCTTCAGATCTTAAGACTTTCCTGCTTATACCATCAAGTACAATACTTCCTGCTCAGACTCACAACCTAAGACTTTCCTACTTATATTCCGCTAACCCAATACTTCATGCTTAAACCCCATGGATTCAATACTTCCTACTTATATCCTAAAGTACAAGACTTCCTGCTAAGGTTCCACGAATCCAAGACTTTCCTAATTAAACCTACAGTCCAAGACTTCCTTTATTAATCAACAAATTGACCAAGGCTTCAACGCTCAAGCACATAGCAGGATACTTACTTGACTCAAGCTCACATCAAGAGACTTTGATGCTAAAGCACATAGAAAGAGACTTTCTTTCTAAACTACTAAATAACCTGTTTAGCAGAATATACAATAAGGTGTACTAGAAATACAATCAGAGGTACATGGAAATAACTATAACAGAGATCATATCACTTAAGATTTATAAGATATTCATTGTTTAAGAAATCTTAAGGCTTTGTACAGTTTACAAAAAATAACTGAAACTCTGCATACTAAATGTTGTTGTTGATCTTGTTATTCTTCCATTTTGATAGAAGCGTGAAATACTCTTTTTTCTACTTGGCCCCCTTTATTTTTTTGTTCCTTGTTGATTCTTCATATTGAATCTTCAGCTACTTAAATAGCAGATACAAAATAATAGTCGTTAGAAGAGGTAACTTGTATAAATGTCTTTGTTACTCCATAGTACTAAGAGATGTTAACGATGGATACACAAAAAGATATTTATCCATTGTGTAACTTGTTTAACCATAGCGTATTCCTTGTGAGCTTTACTATATATCTGTTGAGAGTGGATATCCGTAAAGCATGTCAACTATCCTTGAGACATGTGAATATAGACTCTAGCTGACAAACTGATATGACAATGTATCTTGTTTTATACAATACATATCACTTAGCTTTGTCTATGCTTCTGAATGATCAGCAGAAGCTGATACATTCAATAAGTGTAGAGATAACATATTGTTCTTCTGATTCTGATACATTCAACTTCAGAGTCTATGCAATCCTATATCATCAGACTTCCTTAAGAATGTCTTTCAGTTCTGAACTATTAGAAGCCAAGAACTCAACTTCTCTCAAATACGTCCTTTTAACAGATTATGAATAGATTCTTTTTAAGCTTTGGAACCTGCATAGTTAGAACACACATTAGATAACATCAATATTCTTTCAATACTTTGTTATCATAAAAACCTAAAGGATATATGTCATGACTAAATCTTGTTCTAACAAAGAATATATTTATTCAGCCTTCTCTATTTTATTTTTGAATCTAACGCCTCTTTATCAGTTTCTTCTGTAAGAAGTAATTATGACTAAATAATGATATGCCAAAGAAATTGGTGAAAATTTTATTGATAAAAAGATTGATTACATTACTTAGTTATAAGATATCTTTAATCATCTTTAAAACCTTGAGCCTGATGAAAGTTAACTCATTTCACAACCTAGTAATGTTCAGCATCTAAATCAAAATGGACTATTTTGGTATAATTTCTCCTTCTCCTAGGCTTTCTCTTCTTTGCAATGGTCATCTTTAACGTCAAAAGTTGAAGAGTATTGTTGGAATAATTCGTCTTAGAAGATTTGTTCTTCTGTTCAGGTGTCTTCTTAGAGGCCTATTCCTCTTGAGCATAGGCTGCTTCAGACCCTAATGACGTTAGAATATTTTAATTAAATTAAAGATAAAATTAACATAGAAAAAGACTAAGGTGGATCTTACAAACCTCAACCTAAGGCCTGTCAAATTCAGGGGGAGCTTACAAACCTCATACCCTGATATCAAACTCTGTTAAGATTATCAACAATCATTGTTCTTAAATACAATTGTTTGTCATCATAAAAAAAGGGGATATTGTTAGAACAAGACTTGTTTATGCCCTTAAAAGGTTTTGATGATAACAAAGTATTTAAAGAATGATAGGGTTTGCTAATAGTTGTTCAAGCGTGTAGGACCATAAGATAAGAATTTATCATGAATTAATTATATTGAAAGCATAAGTGAAGAAGAAATAATACTCAAATTTTGGATGATCAGAATCTTAACATGTTCATCAACATCTGAAGGTTCAGACTCTAGTATACTATTTCACCCTCTGGTGATACCTCAAATCCTGAAGGCTTAAGAAGTGTTTGATCTGTACTTTGCACCAAAGCTGGCTAGTCTTGTTAAAGCAACAAATATCTGGACAGAGTAAACTAGAGTTTGGTTTTGCAAGGCTCAAGGATGATGATGTGACCTCTTCACTCTGCACTACCTTTTAGTAGATACCTTGTTACTCAAAAGGTGTTATGGATATTGCTTTTATTCAGTGGACAATACTTCTGACCGAATACAACTCTCCATGTTGTTTTAGTTGTTCACCTATACTTATGGATATCTAGTTCCAACTGTTATGGTTACCGTTTGAAATAGAGTGGTTACAAAATATGATTAAAATATATATTTTGCAACGACTCTAAATCTGCCTTGGAACTATTTCTTCATATATTCAAAAATGCTACATCCAACAACTATTTTTCTTGGTCCTTTAAAAGAAAGTTCAAGGATATGAAGATCATATTGAAAAAAGTTGATCATGCTGATCAAGTTGGTCAAGTTAATCATTATTGGTTCGTTGTTGAAAACTCTAAACGTACTTAATATTCAAAAATATTGAAGTCTTTGAACAAGCTGTTAATAGAACCACACAACACAAACAACATATGATACAAGTAAAAACACTTATATATATTTGTTAGTTTGTACATATGGTTTTAAGATTTCTCATCACTATTTATCTTAGAAATCTTAAAGACATAATAATCTATGTTGTAAATGTGCACCACCGATAATAGTATTAAGTGCATTCACATTTACTATCCTAAATTGATGTTTAGAATCTGTAAAAATGTTTCAGACTTAGTGTTTGAACATGCGAAGTCTCATTCTAGATAGATTGAGCATTGAAGTCTCATGATTGAAGGCAGAGTAAGGAAGTCTCAATCAGTGTGATTGAACATTGAAGTCTCATGTTTAAGGATAGAGCAGGAAGTCTTGAACCAATGGTTTAAGTAGGGAAGTCTCATTCTAGTTTGATTAAGTAAGAAGTCTTGAATCGAGGGTATAAGCAAGGAAGTCTCATTCTAGGTTGATTGAGCAGAAAGTCTTGAGCAATTGACTTAAACAATTGTAATTTGATTGATTATAGTAAAAAAGTTCTTGTGCTACAAGGGGACTGGACTACTCTCGGGTTAAGAGTAACCAAGATATATCGTCTGTCTCTTTATTTACTTCTACTTTTACATTCTACTGTGCAACAAACTCTGAAGTCAGACTATGATTTGATTCAACATCTTACTTGGATCGGAATCTGAGCTTGATATCTTAGGTTATGAAGCAAGTTAAAGAAAAAGAAGTAAACTTTTCCATACACAATTCAACCCCCCTTCTTGTGTATATTTTTCTTCCCTTCACATTAGAAATTTTTTGAAGAATGTCACAAATAGTACTACTTACTTTTGGTAAAAATAAATTTTGGATTTTTATTTCTTAAACCACAAGACACAAGATTGTATCCCTTCATATCTCTACATGTTGAAAAAAATTAAACATAAATAACAATTGTTCAAAAATAAATGTATCATTTTAGTATTATAAAGAATACCATTTACGTGCTAGTATATTTTTTCATATCTGAATCAATACTATAGTATAACGAGCATAGCATAATTACACACTTTTGTATGAGACAAATAAGTACTAGTTGTCAATTACCACCGGATAAACATCTAAAATGATTAATAATGGATTAAAAATTGAATATTAAATAAGAGGAAAAAAAAATCATATATACATACGGATTTATAAACAATCATAGATAACAATCTCTTTTATCTCAAATTAACTTATTTTATATGTACTTTTAAATATCATTTGATTTGATGAAAGTTCGAAAAATCAAATATGGTATGAATTCAAGAAACCATATTTTTTTAAATCTCCGTACATAAATCTGATATATGTACCTAAATGATATTAACACAAAAGTTAATTTTAAAAATATTTGAGGATAATAAATATAAGTTAAAATTACCATAAAAATTATACTTACTTGCATCATAATTAAAGTATAGTTACGTTAAGCCAATTGGTACCCTTCAAAATACTTCTACTACCACTCTTTGCTATAAAAAATAATTGTTCTGGTACATGTTCTAATTGTACCGGGAAGGAGCCTCTCATCTCCTCTACTATTCTTGGCAATCTTAGTAATAGATCTAATTGAGGTATTGAGATCTCAATCTTGTAATAAAGGATTGAAGCTAAACAACTACACCTTACCTTTCGGACTTGTAATCCAATGCTATGAATATTGTGCTAAGTTGCACTCAATATTTCCATATTTATTAGTGTAAATTTGTTTAAATTTGTTTAACTTGTTAGTAACAAAATACAAAAATTTGTTATAAATAAATGTGTGGTGCAATTGTTAAAGCTGTAAAAAACATTTCTTTTACATTTGTTTCTAAGAAAATTCATGCAATTGTTTAGTGTAAGAGTTTAATATCTTCTTATTAATAGAAGCTCAAGAACATGATGATATAAAACAGTAGCAAACATGTAAATTTGAATACCATTAATATTTCAACTACATTCTGAAAAATATTACTAGAACTGTTACAAATCATCTCTCAACAAATACGAAATTCAAACAAATTCGTCTCGTAATTCATTACATTTCTTGAGACTTCCTTACACAGCGAGCCACTTTCTTTTTGAATTCACTTCTATTATCTCTCCAATCTATCTGCAGCATGATCAACAACATAACAAGATCAAAACTTATCTATATTATTTAACATATTTAATATTAATCAACACCGTACCGCAGCGTCTATGTTTGCAGGAGACTCGATATTAGGGCTTGAAAGCATTGATATAATGCTCAGAACTATGCTTTCAACCTGCACATCATAATTCAATATTAGTACTCACGAGTCACATTGCTAGCTATAGAAGATAAAGCAGTGAATCGAAAGACATAAAAGATACCGTATGAACAGGCAACCAGCGCTCGCCCGAATCTTCATAACCAGCTGGATCATCACCAGGAGGGTGAAGAATTGAAATGCAGACAGTTCCATCAGAATAAACTATAGTTATGTAAAGAAAAAGAAATTGAAATGAGATCCATGTTAACAAGTTAACTACATCAAATATTTTTTTTACAATTATATTGAATGTATTATGCATGTAAAGTAATCACCATTAGGATGCCAAATCTCTGAAGTAAACTTCATTCTTGGTGGATTCTGAGGATAATCAGGAGGAAAACTCATGATTGCATTGAAAAAACCTCCATCACTATAAACAGCATAATCAAAATTTAATTTCAATTAAAACCTAATTATGAACAAAGTAATTGATCAAGAAGTATTAAAGGGCTTACTAGAGAGAATCAGGTGGACCAATGATGGTGACATTCCATTCAAACACATTGTTTTCATCAACCAAACCTGCTGAGAAGCCATCTAAAGGAGCTTTACAAAGATCTGTGATGAATAACAATATAATCATGCAGTTGTTAATCCAAGAACACAAACCCTAGAAAAGAGAATTGATGAAAATCAATGAAATAATGTGAAAAAATTGTCAAGGTTTGGGTTTTGGTGTTAACCTTTGAGTTGTTTTTGAAGGAGAAGGCTTCCTTGTGACATTGTTAATTAGGAAGGGAAAGGGATTAGAAAGATTTTGAGAGTAGAATATGTAAAGAAAATGAAGTGTGAGAAAATTTATACGCATAGACTTAAGTTATGTTAGTTGGATTAATGAAGTAGTTAAATGTGTTAACTGATTCAGTTATTTTTCAGTTGCAGTTAGTTAGGTTAATTGAACCAACTGCAAACAGTTTTTAAACTCTATTGAGTCCCTTTAATTCTATAGTTAAATTACATTTCAATTCTTGAAGAATCTAATTGACTTTATTTGTGTTTTTTTTATCCAATTGACTTTTATGAAATGAAATATAGAACACTTATTTTGCTGAGAAAAAAGTGTTTCTGTTATGTGCTACATCTATTTGTTATATCATACAATTTAGTTTGAGACATGATAACTATGGTGGAAAAAAGTGAGATGTAATTTAGTTTAAGGCTTGTTTGTCAAGCATTGCCTTTAATTTCTCAAGGACTTTATGAACTTGAAGGTTGATTTTGGACCTTTTCCCACTATGTACGATATTTTCTAGTATCTAAAACCTGGTGAACACTCAATATTTGCAGTGGAGTTGTTCATAGTTGGATGACTATTTCGGCTACAATAAAACTCTAACTTTTTTTAATAAATAGTTTTGACATGAAGCGTGTTCTGAAATTAAAATTGATTAGTGAACAATTGATGTGGATCGTAACGATGGATTAGAATTTTCGATACGATGGAGAATGGACTGATCTGCAAGATTAGCACTCCAACGTCCAAGTCATTATGAGAGTGAGATGAAACAAATGAGTTTTGAATTCGAATTATTTGAGAAATAACACATTCTCCATTTTATATATCAGGACAATTACAACAACTTACTAAGCTAACATCGTGAGATGTGAGAAGTCGTCCGATTGATATTGGATATAAGTTATCTGCTTCCTCGTCTAAGATAGTGTATATGTCCTCCACATGATTCGACAAGTTATTTCTCTTTTGGGTTGTGGTTATCTGGCCTTCTGGGAGGTCCAAAACTATTGCTCCCAAGCTCAACCCCCCTCCACTTTGTAGGGTGATAGCTCAATTGTGCTTCTATTCTTCTTCCGACGGTTGCACAATTTAAGTGATACTTGCACCTTGAATGCGCTTTGTTCCTTAGCCGTCTTTTTATTTGCTTTGTCATGATGACCTTTGAGGACTAGAGTATTTGAGTATTTTTTGAAAAAATCTAGACCGTTGGTAGCGCTTACTTCATTCTTTGATGTAATATATTGTACGGTCTTTAGAAATAGCTACAAGACTTCCTTGCTCATTACCTTTCATTATTTCGTCGTTTACATGCTCTGCAATGCACTATCTTCTTGATCAATGAAGGTGGTATCCAACATGTGCCGAAAAGCAAAGGGTGATATTTCAAACGTCCCAATAGAAGCTAAATTTTCGGTGATCACTTTTATTTTTGCTTGCAAAGTTAACCTCGATAGGACTTTCCTTGAAGTGGATCCCTCATTTGACTAAGGTGTACTGATTTTATATAAAGACAAGAAGATATACATCGATTATGGTGGGTGCACCATCCCTTTTTATGAGTGCCCACTTTTCGATACTGAGTCTCAGATTCCCTTTCAACAACTTCGTAGTTAGGGTTTTGAACCATCTAATGATTTATTCTTTGCAATTGAATTCTCTGAGTTGCGATTTTAGCAAGGTTTTCTAAAACTGGTGGAAGTACCAAGCGGTAAGCCATCTTTGTCACTCTTCTTCCACCTTTTCAAGGTTCTGCATAGTACATCAAATCATGTGCAAGGTCTGAGTTTAATTACATTGATACAAGTTACCTACTACTTCGAAGTATATTCTAATGGCGTGAAACATTTCAAAGATTGGTTCTTTTTAGTTACCCCTTTCAACAAAGAGACTCATGCAAATATATCATGCTATAGAGAGTGAAGTGGAATATCGATGTACATATTAATTTCTTAAGTTCTAGAGCCACAACCATTTTTTAATGGGGATTAAGTTATATATCTACAAGAAGGATGATCTGTCCTAGGAGGTGATTTTCCTACAGAAATAGTTAGCTGCTTTCTCCAAAGACTTGGGTTATGATGGAGGTTTCGTTCTGCAAAATGATGCCTCAAGGAAACGTTTGAAGCGACTCATCAAAAACCGCCTGATGATGGACGCTAACACGAAGGATGAGAGGGATGTCATTTTTGGTAAGCTCCCAATATTTCTATCTTTCTTTGCTTGTCATCTTTGTCTATAGTGTTTTGTGACAATTTTCTAATTGGGACATGTAGAATTAATAAAGTGTGAGAAAGTAATTCAACAAATGAAGAAGGAAGCTCGGGCTATCCCAACGATAGCCATTCCTTCGAGTGTTCCAACGCTCACCACCATCCTTGTTCCGATTAGAGTGAAGAAGCAATTAACCCAAGATTTTCTGCTAGGTTTACCACAACCTTAAGGAGGAACCATCCTGGTTCCCAACCCTAATGTTGAAATTCTTGGGGATACCCGAAGGGTGTCGAGCATTTTGTTACATTTGATTGGTGTCATTTTAATATTAAACCTGTGGAGCAAGATGTCATTAAATCGTGTGAGACATTATGTCTCTATGAGCTCAAACCAAAGTGGAAACATATAGAGCAAGATGTTCTGCATATTGTGAGAAATTTTGCCTCATTCAGAAGCCAATATGCGCTAAGAAAATATCGTGCCTATTGGAGATTTGCTTTCATTCCTGTTTAATCTGATTTATGCACTTTATGGAAAAATAATTTTTTTTTCTCAAAAGATCCATTTGCAAGAGTTAAACAGGACAAATATGATTGTAGAAGATTTATCAAATCAAAGATTGCAAATCACTTAATGAAGAATATTCCCTCGCGCCTTTGGATTTGCTTAAGTCGCACGTAATGATAAAACCCTAATGGGGCATGCAGCTGGATTCTATTACTATATAAGGAGGAGCTCTCCATGTAAAGGCCCATACCTTGAGAAAATAAGCAAGGCATGTTTTTACCTGTATTGATTCTTTTAGTTTTAGTTTTGTGTTGATGGAACTCTGTTCCTTAGTCATATTCCTATATAGAGGAAAACAATTTGTTTTGATTTGTAATTAGTTTCATCATTCATATAATGATGTAACTATCTAAACAATTGGGAGAGTGCTTGAGAGAAAGCGAGAAGAGTTTCATATTCAGGGGGAGTCTTGAATAGAGGTTCATGAGTAGTACTAAGAAAAGATTCTTTGAACTAGAAGGGTTCAACTAAGACCAACTTTTACTATTAAGAGTGAATTTCCTTACTTGGGTTAATTTCCTCCAGACGTAGGTTACTTTGTACCAAACTGGATTAACAATTTTGTGTGTCATTTTTACTTTAATCTTATTTTATTTTTTAGTGCATTAATCTTGTTATACTCATTGTCCAACTCATTGTGACTGGCATTTTCCAGTAGACAAACAAAATTTCAATTGGCATCAAAGTAAACACCCTAGTATGTTGTTCCTAGTGGATTGGTCCTTTGGATTAGCTACATTCAACAAAACAATAACTTGGAGAAATGTCCAAGTATTCAAGATTGATCTAGCTTGCTAAAGTTGTATGAAACTGCAAAAGGGAGACGTGATGGGTTTGATCCTTCAGCATGTTGGTACGACATATGGGCCTTGTGCAACAGGCGCTAGATTTATGTGTTTTAACATAATCTTTTTAGAGGATTCAATTATATTTTATTGCTATTGGTTTAGCAATATGATTATATAATTTGTTGGATAATTGTGAAGATCAAATCAGATTTAAAAGAGAATTAAATTTTAATTTGTAACAAACCAAATCATATCTTTTTGTTGGAGATATTTAAGGAGTAAATCAAATATCAAATCGATTATGAAAAGATTCTAGACAAAAATAACTACAGACCCATAAGGAAAGAGCCTAGAGTTATTTTTCCTATATAAGGAGATTAAACCTACATTGGAAAGCAAGAATTTCCATTGCAGATGTTAGAGTGCTAGGGTTTACAAGAGCCATTGTTATTTTTATGTACACCTCTACAATTTAGTAACTTGGCATAGAAGGTTTGTCTAGTTGAGTTGTTAATTTAAAATTGTTATGTGCAACTCTATGTTTCAGTAACTTTGCATAGAAGGTTTATCTAGTTGAGTTGTAATATTCAACATTCTTTCATATTTTTAAATTTGAATTTATTCACTAGGGTTTACTGGTTGTTTGCCCTTGTCACTGGTTTTGTGTAAGAGAAGAAAGTGAGTAGGTTCTCAAGTTTAGGGGGAGGCTCTAAATAGAAAGTTATTGGGTAGTGTTAGGAAGAGGCATTGAACAACATATGGTTTGTTGTTGCTTGTAAGTATAATTGTACTAAGATACTAATAGTGAATTTTATTTCTTGGGTTGTGGGGTTAGCCCCCCAGATGTAGGTATAGTTTCACCGAAATGGGTAAACAATTGATCGTGTTATTTATTGATTTTCTACTCCATCATCAAGTACTTGTTATTTTATTAGTTCTTATGTATCTTGTTAAACCGGTTGTCGAAGCATCGAGTTCGGAACCTGTCCCTTACGGAACATAATTTCAATTGGTATTAGCATGTTTGGTGAGTTCCATGAAAGATAAGTTCTGCTTGAATGGTGACAATGAAAGTTGGAGGATCAGTCAAAAAATCACCTATTTAGGATAACATAGAATGTGATTATTGGAAGGTGATGATGGTTGTGTTTCTCAAATCCTTATAAAACAAAACTTGGAAAGTTGTGATAAAAGGATGGAAACATCTAGTTGTTACTTCTAAAGACGACATGATTAGCCTAAAAACAGAGGTTGATTGGACCAAATAAGATGATGAAACCCTTGGAAACTCCAAGGCTTTGAATGATATTCTCAACGGGGTTGATAAAAAATGTTAAGGTTAATCAATACATGTTCAGAAGCTAAAGAAGCATGATATAGTTTCAAGACTTCTCATGAAGGCTCATCAGAAACTCGTATAT